CAGTGTTCTGTCTCAACCTGTCTAACTATGTTATTTCATCTTCAGATGTAGGATTGTCAAATTCTGCTGTCTCTGTCACCATCAAGACTAAAGGAGGGCCCCTGCCATCCATTCCTCTATATCCTTTGTCTTTTCTTGGGGGTGGGGGGAGGAGTTAGGCAATGGGGTTAAGTGACTTGCCCAGGGTCACACAGCTAGTGTAATGTGTCTGAGGCCCGATTTGAACTCAGGTCTTCCTGAATCCAGGACCAGTGCTCTATCCATTGCTCCACTTAGCTGCCCCCATTCCTGCACTCTTCTTACTCCATTTTAAATTTCCCTTTTCTTTTTTCTCTTAAAAATGACAAAACAGAATAAAGTATACCTACGCCCTGCATTTGGCATTTCTTCAGGGAGTGCACTGCTTAAGCAATGGTCTCCATCTTCTGTTCTAATCTAATCTCTTTCCAATTTATTGTTCTCCTAGCAGCTCTAATTTCATTTTGCTTCATTTGCTCTGGCTTTATTTCTCTCTCCCCCCCAATAGTATTTTATTTTTTTCCAATTGCATGTAAAGATGGTTTCCAACATTCACTTTTATAAGATTTTGAGTTCTAATTTTTTTTCTCCCTCCTTTCCCTTCCCCCTCCCCAAGGTGGCATGCAATCTGATATAGGCTATACATGGACAATACCATTAGGCATATTTCCTCCTTTTTCATGTTGTGAAGGAAGAATCAGAACAAGAGGGAAAAACCATGAGAAAGAAAAAAAAAAGAGAAAATAGTATGCTTTGGTCTGCATTCAGCCTCCCTCAGTTTTGTGGATACAAAGAAAGGCAGAAAACAGTCTCTCTTCTTAAGGAGCTCCTTCTAATGTTCTCTAACATGAAAACAACTATGTACCAATAAGATACATACAAGATAAATTGTAGATAATCATATAGAATCGACTACCCTGGCTCTACCTGCCTGAAGGCCTTGGAGATATCATTTAACTACTCTTACTAGGTTCTCTGGTACCCTTAAGCATCTTCCATTACATTCATATACCACAACTTGTTCAGCCATTTCCCATTTGACCGGCATTCCCTTGATTTCTAATTCTTTGCCACCATGAAAAGAGCTGCTATAAATATTTTTGTACATATATATCCTTTTTTCTTTTTCATGACCTTTTTGGGTTATAGACCTAATAATGGTATTGGTAGATCAAAGAATATGCACAGTTTGATAGCCCTTTGGGCTTAGTTCCAAATTACTCTCCAGAATGGTTGGATCAGTTCACAACTCTACCAACAGTGCATTAGTGTTCCACTTTTCCCACATCTTCTCCAACATTTATAATTTTTTTTCTCATATTAGTCAGTCTGTTAGGTGTGAGGTGGTACCTCAGAGTTGTTTTAATTTTCATTTCTCTCATCATAGTGATTGGGAGCATTTTTATATGACTATAGATAGATTTAATTTCTTCATCTGAAAACTACTTGTTCATATCCATTTACCATTTATCAATTGGGAATGACTTGTATTCTTACAAATTAACTCAGTTCTTTATCTATTTTAGAAATGAGGTCTGGCTTCATTTCTTTGGGTCATTCTTGAAGTCCTCGTGGTCTAGGCATTCTTTTCTCTGAAGCTTTGCTTATAGGAAGAAGGAAGGATGGATTTATTAAGGAATGACATTGTGCCTGACATACAAATATTATTTCATTTGATCATCACAACCAAATGGGAGGGAGGTATTATTATCATGCCCTTTTTACATTTGAGGAAACTAAGGCAGCTAGGTGGTACAGATAAGAAGACTCATCTTCCTGAGTTCAAATCTGGCCTCAGACATTTATTAGCAGTGTGACCTTGGGCAAATCACTTAACCCTGTTTGCCTCAGTTTCCTCATCTTTAAAATGAGCTGGAGAATGAAATTGCAAACCACTCCAATATCTTTGCCAAGAAATTCCAAATGAGGTCCCAGAGAGTTGGAAATGACTGAACAACAACAAAAAGACATACAGATTTTAAATGACTTGCCCAGGATCACACAGACAGTATCTGACACCATATTTGAAATCAGGCCTTCTTGATTCTACACTTAGTGCTCCATCTACTTTACCACCTATGTGCTCTATACTTCTTATGTTGTTATTGTCTTCTTCTGGGTTCAGCTGTTGGGGTTCTCTTAACTCAGGGTATTTCTTCATTATATTCAGAGCTGTCTTCTATTTACTCACATCTACAACCTTAGTTCCTGGATTGTGATTTTGTTGCCAGGACCATGCTGTGTCCCCTCTTGTACTCTTGTATAGGGTAGGTAGGCCATTTGTTCCTTTCCCTCTGTAGTCTGGGTGCCGCTGTCATTGTCCTACATTATGGATGGGATAGCTGAGAACAAACCCCACTTTCTGCTATAATCACTTGTATTTGACTCTGAGGATAGCAGTAAGCCATGTGGTCTTTTAGAGTCACAACTAGAGAATGAGTCATCTCCCAGTTGGGAATTGCAGAAGGAGAAGGAAAGAGTGATGTGTTGGAGACTGTGCTGGTTTCCTTGCTCCTGGAGACTCCCTTCTCTCCCATCACCCAATACACTTGGGCCACCTGGGCACTGCCCTGGTCCTATTTCCTTCTGTGCCTATAGCATGAACATTGGCTTTGAGCTATATGGAGAGCCCCAGGGAGAATCACACTGCCAAACCTTATGACCCTACAAAGTGCACCAGAATAAAAATGGTCAATCCAATTGTGTTTTATATGTGTACATATATGTATATATACACACACACACATATATATATACACATATATATTCCAAATGATTATAATTATTAAATGATATGTTTAAATGATTTATAAGAATTAGGACAATGAAATTATTCCTGAGTGGAAAGATTTGCCAATTCAGATTTGTCTGTTTAAAAAAGATCATTGAAAGAGAAAAAAAGGGAGACTACAATATATGCCAACATTGTTTTAGACAATTTAAAACAACTAGACTGTATAAGGTTGGAATGTTGTTGTGGTATAAGAAACAATGAGTTGGTGTTCTTAGAAAAATAGGGAAAGACTTGGACCTATGGAGGAAAACATTATCTACCCTCAGAGAAACAGAGGACAAACAAGTATAGAACAATCTTGCATAGATGCATATGAATGTATATGTCAATATATGAATATGATTATAGATACCTAAGTATATGTATGTATATGTAGGAGTATGTATATATGTATGAATATATCTGCTTGTGTGTATATGTGTGCATAATGTGTGTATATTTGCATATATGTGTATTTGTGTGTGTATGTGTATCTGTATCAATATCAATCAGTGCTTCATTGTGGACTTCTTGTAGGAGGGGGAGAGGATGAGGGGAAAAGAGAACAAAGTAAAAAATGCACAGCAGAGAACAAGAAAAATTTACAAGGAAGCAAAGAAAAGATGGAAAGCTCTGAACACAATGTGTAGTATTTATTATATAGGTTTCTGGAAATGGAAATTCATAGCAGTATATTTTGAATCCTCTCTTACACTCTGCTGTGCACATGGCAGTGCTTTTTTTCCTTTTCTTATTTTGTATTTAAGTTTAAAATAAATTAATAAAAAAGACACCAGAACTCACTCTCCCATGTTGCACTCTTTATTTTGGATTGGGCAAAGTAGGTTTGGTAGGAAATAAATGTTTTTTTTAAATGTCTCCTTGGTTTGAATATTTTTTTTATGATTCAAAGTGCCATTGTGTATTGGAACCAAAGACTTTTCCATATAAAATTTACAAGTCAGCATAAAAAGAGAAAAGCCTTTAAATCTGGCATCTGTGTGGTATAGGATGTAAGTGTCAGTGAGGAGATAAGAATGGCAAGCAGATTGTAGACCTAATCTCTTATTCTAGCCTTTACTATGCCTTCAACAGGCCATTCAGGCCCCATTTCTAGTCACTCAGTCAAAGAGTTTCTATTTGCATCTAGAGGCTTTAAGTGAAAGGACAACAGAGTTTATATTTGGACCTCTAGGTAATAAGGATGTAGTACAGTTTATTGAGTAGGGGAGTGGCATGGTCAGCCGTGGACCTCAGAATAATCACTTTGGTTGTTGTACAGATAATGGATGAGAGGGGGGAGATATGAGTCCATGAGTCCAATTAGGATGCTACTCTAATAGTTCAGACGATGGGTGATGAACTAGAGCAGTACATGTGCAAGGGGGCAGAAGGGGACTCACATGAGAGATATTGGGGAGGAGGAAGCCACTGGATCTGGCAACTGAGTGGGCACATGAGGTGAGTGACAGGGAAGAGTTGAGGATGACACTGAGGTTGTGAACTTGGATAACTGGCAGGATGGTGATACCCTCAACAGACAAAATGGAAGCTCAGAAGAGGGGAGGGTTTGGCGGGTAGGATAAGGAGGGCAATTTAAAAAATGTTGAGTTTGCAATGTCTAGGGGACATGAAATTCTAAACGAGTAGTAGGCAGTTCATGATGTGGGGTTGGAGGTTAGGAGAGAAACTAAGTCTGGAAATATGGATTTGGTAGTTGTCGGTTAGGACACAATCATTAAACGTATGGGAACTATTGAAGTGTAGTATAGAGAAAGCCAGCTGAGGAGCCCAGAAAATCAGAGTTCAAGTTCTGCCTCAGATATAACCTGGCTGTATTACCTTAGAAAAAATGTCTTGAACTCTCAGTTTCTCAGGGCAATTCTGCATGAGTAAAAGTTGCAGATTAGAGGTAGCTTTTTATTGTTGGAGGGAGCTCTCTATAATAAATGACTCACAGGTTTTAGAAAAATAAAAATATTATTATTATTAGAGGTGTATGCCCTTGGCTCTAAATCTGGACTACCTTTCTTTGGTCTTTTAAAGTATTTTTATTAAGTGTCCCTAAATCTGGCTAATTAGCACTTTAGGCTATAATTTCAGTGATGGTAGGGCAAATCTCACATTCCTCCTTTTTTTTCTTTTCCTGTAAATTTCTCTGAATAGTCACTTTGTTTGAAAGTATTTTCACTTTCTGTTCAGCCTTCACTCTTGAAGGGACTCGGCAGTGTTGTCGGGCTTCAGACTCAACGCAGATGAAACTTCAGTCCTGTGAAAAGCTACCTGAAGCCAGCATCTCTGAATAGAGTGGGGCTTCGATAAGCCCCCACATCTGAGAGGGAGAGCAGACAAAGCGTGGCTTGGAGAGCAAGGTTTGTGGGGAGTGAAGGGCGGCAGGCATCCTGAGGGAGAGGGGAAACAGAGAGAGGATGAAACTGAGACTAAATGAACCACAGGGGGAGTGAAAGGGACTCATAGGAAAGACCTTCGGGACAATCTAGGCCAATCTGTTCGTTGTGAAAATGGGGAAACTAAATCTCAAAGAAGAGAAGGGACTTATAGTGCATTAATAGTGGAGCCAGGATTCAGAGTAAGAGACAAAGAAACAGAAAAAGACCAAAGGAGGAACAGTTAATCATTGAGCATTTATTAGGTACCAACTATGTGCCAGGCACTGTGTTATGTAGTGGGGAGACACAGGCAACAGTGAAAGAGTCCAAGTTTGAAGGAGAAAGTGAGAAAAAGAGATAAGAAGACAGAACTAAGGGGAGAGATACATAGGTTGGGAGCCTGGCATGATAGCTGTGCAAACAGAAAGATAGACACAAAAATGGAGTTGGGAGAAGGTGGAGAGGGATGGAACAAGGAGGGGAGAGAGAGACAGAGAGACCCAGAGAAAGAACAATAGCAGAGATAGAAAGAAATGTAGCAAAGGGAGAAGACAAAGAGGAAGAAAAGCAGGTAGCAAAAGGCTGAGAGAAAGACAGAACAAAGAGAGAGACAGAGAGGAGTTTAAAGTCAGATTAATCAGGGAATGCGGGAGATCTGAAAGTTTGGGGAAATCAGGGGGTTCAGAGATCTTTCTTCAAGACTTTCAGGCAGGCATATGCTTCAGGGGGGCACTGGTGCACCTAGCTAATTTCCATGTAGAGTATCAGTGCATTCTTTCTTCCATTTTCCTCTCTCTCCCTTACCAGGACCCACATCTTTAAAGTCTTTCTATGGGAGATTCACTTATGGGTGGCTCTTCAGGGTTTTGCTGTGCTCCCCTTTATCCAGAAAAGTTATCTTTGTGGCTTGTCAGAACAGGTTCATTTATTTCCTCTGATGCCATATCCTCTTCTGCCCCTTCTGGGAAAGAGAGGGAGTCTGAAGAAAGGAATAAAATCTCTGTGTGTTTGGAGTCTGCCTGTATATAGGCATGCGATTCTTATCTCCAAGCCAGGACTTACATTTGTTGTTATGGGAGTGGAGTATATTACAGGAGGGGAAGGGGGGCAGATCATCACAGTTGTTCCCCATTCCCAACCTTTTCAACAATGAAGACTTCCATTGGGTTTCCAAAAACATCATCTAGCACCACATTAGGAGTTGTACTTTGAATATCTAGTGATTAAGAAAATACATGATGGCAAAAACTAGAAAGAATTCAGTGATGCTGCCAAATGAATTTGTATCTTGCTGATGAGAACAACATTGACATATATTTGATAACTAGAAATACAGTTGCTTACCATTATTTGGGCTACAGAAGACTTGTATGCATATCAGTTACATTGAGTCATTTATTGAGAGAGGAACAAGAATAGCAAACCTGACAGTGATTCAGAGCTTTAAATTCTGCAGAGTGTGGTACATACTGTCTTTCATCTGATTTGAGAAAAAGCCAGGTCAGTAATTCCACGACATATTAAGAGGCACAGAGGGTGCAGGCAATTGATCTTCTCCAACCCTTGATGGTACAGGCTCCCTGAGAGGGAAAGTGACTTGTTCAACTCACAAAATGAGGTATTGGTGGAGCCCCAGGACTTATAGAGAGACAGAGATGATGAGAGATGAAGAGCAAGACAGAGCCCCACTAACATACACAGGGAAATAGAGGTACATAGAGTCAGTGAGTATAAGAGAGGAACAGAGACAGAAAGCAATAAAAACTAGAGATACAGAACTAGTAAGAGATACAGAAAGGGACAGAAGGGTGGCCAGTTGGAGAGGGTGATGGGCATGGAGTCAGGAAGACCTGAATTCAAATCCTGTTTCAGACTCTTTGTATATCTGTGACCCTGGTCAAGTCGTATTTAACTTCCCTTTGTTTCCTTCATGTGCAAAATACGAATAGTAAAAGAGCCTACCTAATGGGGTTGTTGTAAGGATCGAAGGAATTAACATGGAAAACACTTTGCAAACCTCAAAATGCTATGTAAATGTTGACTATATATGTATATGCACACATACATATTTATACACATGTAAACTATTAAACCATAAACTGCACTAAGACTTTTTTGGGCAATGTGTGTGTGTGTGTATGTGTGTTTCTGTTCATGTGTGTACTTGTATATACACATATATACAAGGTGTAAACGCCATCATTTTTCTTGGCTGCTTGCAATATTTTCTCCTTCTCCTAGAAGCTCTGGAATTTGGCTATCATGTTCCTGGGAGTTTTCATTTTGGGATCTCTTTCAGATCAACGTATTCTTTGAACTTCTATTTTGCCTTCTAAATCTAATATATCATGGTAGTTTTTCTTTGTAATTCTTTGAAATATGATGTCTAATTTCCTTTTTTGATCATGGCTTTCAGGTGGTCCAATAATCCTTAAATTATCTCTGCTCAATCAATTTTCCAGGTCATTTGCTTTTCCAATGAGATATTTCATATTTTCTTTATTTTTTTCATTTGTTTGACTTTGTTGCTATCATTTCTTGATATCTCATAGAGTTCTTAGCTTCCCTTTGGCCAATTCTAATTTTTAAAAATTTAAAAAATTTTATTTTTTATTAATTTATTTTTAGTTTTCAGCATTCACTTCCACAAGATTTTGAGTTCCAAATTTTCTCCTCATCTTGTCCCTCCACCTACCCCAAGATGGCATGCATTCTGAAAACTCCTTCCCCCAATCTGCCCTCCCTTCCATCTCCCTCCTCCCTTTCTCTTATCCCCTTCCCTTTATATTTTCCTGGAGGGCAGGATAGATTTCTATACCCCATTGCCTGTATATCTTACTTTCCAGTTGCATGTGAAAACAATTTTTAACATTTGTTTTTAAAACTTTGAGTTCCAAATTTTCTCCCTTCCTCCCTCCCCACCCACCCTCATTGAAAAGGCATGCAACTCAATATAGGCTATACATGTGTAGTCATGCAAAACACTTCCATATTAGTCATGTTGTGAAAAACTAACAATACTTCCCTTCATCCTATCCGCCCCCCCCATTTATTCTATTCTCTCTTTTGACCCTGTCCCACCTCAGAAGTGTTTGCTTCTGATTCCCCCTCCTCCAATCTGCCCTCTCCTCTATCATCTCCCACTCTCTTATCCCCTTCCCCCCTGTTTTCCTGTAGGGTAAGATAGCTTTCCATACCCAATTGAGTGTGTATATGTATTTCCTACTAAACACAAATTCGATGAGAATAAGGTTCATTCATTCCCTCTCACCTTCCCCCACTTCCACTATAAAAGCCTTTTCTTGTCTATTTTAGGTAAGATAATTTGCCCCATTCTACCTCCCCCTTTATCCTTCTCCCAGTATAATCCTCTCTTACCCCTTAATTTTATTCTCCAAATATCACCCATTCATCTTCAACTCACCCTGTGCCCTCTATCTATCTATTTATCTGCATATGATTTTTTCTCTCCAACTACCCTAATACAGACAAAGGTCTCAGGAGTTACAAATATCATCTTTCCATGTAGGAATGTAAACAGTTCAACCTTAATAAGTCCCTTATGATTTGTCTTTCCTGTTTACCTCTTCATGATTCTCTTGAGTCTTATATTTGAAGGTCAAATTTTCTGGTCAGCTCTGGTCTTTTCATGAAGAATGCTTGAAAGTCCTCTATTTCACGGAATGTACATTTTTCCCCCCTGAAGGATTACACTCAATTTTGCTGGGTAGGTGATTGTTGGTTGTAATCCTATCTCCTTTGACCTCCAGAATATTATATTCCAAGCCCTCTGGTACCTTAATGTAGAAGCTGCTAAATCTTGTGTTATCCTGATTGGGTTTCCACAATACTTGAATTTTTTCTTTCTGGCTGCTTGTAATATTTTCTCCTTGACCTGGGACTCTGGAATTTGGGTGCAATATTCCTAGGAGTTTTCCTTCAGGTATCTCTTTCAGGAGGTGATCAGTAGATACTTTCCACTTCTATTTTGCCCTCTGGTTCTAGAATATCAGGACAGTTTTCCTTGACAATTTCTTGAAAGATGATGTCTAGGCTCTTTTTCTGATCATGGCTTTCAGATAGTCCAATAATTTTTAAATTATTAATGTGTAATTTGTTTATATATGTAAATAATGTAATAATGTGTAATAAATTAATATTTAAATTATCTCTCCTGGATCTAGAGGCCCATTGTTGAGTAAGGGAGCGTGGTCTTGACTACTTGTATTCACCAGTGTATTTTATATATTTGGTTGGATAAAATAAAGTCTGTCCTATATTTGATGTATTATTTTTGTTAATACTCAATATGAAATCTGAAGGCCTTTTCCCTTCAGTGGTGGAGATATAGATATGATCCAAATACAAATGTTCCCAAGGGAAACCTTAGCTGGGGTCAAACGGGTGAAACCTCCAAGTTTGAACCCAGTTCATACAAACTCAAGGCCTCCATTCTGGGCTATAGGTTACATAAGAAGTAACATAATCTTAAAGGTGTAGAATTCCAGAGTTGTAAGGGATCCTTCCAACTATTCTAACCTCTACCCAGTTTTTGAATCAAAACTACAATATCTTCACCAGTAGTCTTCCAACTTCTTGAATTTCTTCAGTAGGAAACTGTAACCTCAGAAACAATTCATTCTAATATTTGACAGATGTAAGTGTTAGGACTATTTCCCCTATTTTGAGCCAGAATCTTTCCCCTGTAATTTCTTTCCTAGGATTGTTTCTTGGGGTCAAGAAGAAAAATGTTTAAGCCCTCTTCCAAAGAACAGTCCCTCAAATATTGAAGATAAACCTCCTATTTCCTCTGACATTGAGCATTGTAGTCACCTTCCCCTGGACATCCTATAGCTTGTCAATATCTCTCTATACTATAAATGTGCTGTCCCAAACTGATCATACTAACTCAGATACAGTATTCCAAAGGGCAGATAATAGAGGGCCAAAAAACTCTTCTTCTCTTGGCCTTACTCCTGTTA